ACCTCAACTGCGCACCCACAGACTGACTTCCTGTGTGGTTTGTTAACTTCCTACCCTCTGTGTTCACAATCTTGTTTGTTGTGTGATTTGTGTACAGCTTTGTGTGCCGTGTAGGTAGACAAGTTAATCACATGGTGAAATGTCATTGAGTTTGGAATCCTGAGCCTGCTTTATAATTATGTTAACCTTGCTTTATGACTAAATAAAGTGGACATTGTGGAAAGTCACAACTCATGTGTGCGCCTTCATAGCATGATCATGACACAGTACAACTTCTTGGAGTACTAAATGAGATTTTATGAGCTAAAGCACTAGTGTCTGACATGGCAAATGTAGTGTTAAAACACACACACGCTATCTATAAATTCATCTGAAAATGCTTATTTCTGTTTCCCTGAGAGCAGAAATGAGACTTAGAGGCAGCAGGTATAAGTGGTCCATTTTGTTTCCTATCATTTGTAAAGCTTTTTTTTCTTTGAACTAAATGTCTTTATTGGGGAAAGCCTGGATTACAATGCACTTAAGACTTGGCATTGGGGCCCTTCATCTTGCCAAGGTGGGCACAACATTGACAAAGTGCCCACTTTGTACTGCATCCGCCGCTTTGTCAGTACAACTGGCACTATTCTCCTGCTTGGCCACCTTGGGAGTCTGCCCTCTTACTTTCCCAGCGCGGGCCAGGGAACTGTGGACTTTACCTCCCAAGGATGGGACTGGCTACTTCCAGGGTGGTCAGAGCCTCCACTCCACACTGACCGAGGGTAACCTCAGCCTCTAGGGACAGGCCTGCCAGAAGATCGATTTTATCTTCTGGAGTGATACCCTCCAGTGAGGCTACATGAACCTTCACCTGGGCAACAGTCTCCTGGCCAGTCATCTCCAGGGTGTGTCGCTCTTGGGCGCGGACAAAAAGCTGCACGTCCACATGCCTGAACTGCGTGCACGCAGCTGCTACCTTCAAGATGGAGTTGAGAAGAGCTGTATCATTTGTAAAGCTTAAAAAACAAAAACAAAAACAAAAAAACAAAACCCAAAACTAAGCTAAAATCTATGGGCCTTTTTCCCTTTTAAAGAGAAAAAGTCAAGCCCCTTTGATACATTTTTAGAATAGTTTGAAATATTCTGCTTAAAGATAAAAGGAAGAATTTTATTTTATGCAGGTGCTCTTTTTCCCTTTAAAAAATAGTTAAAGCAAAGAGAATGATTTCCAAGTTTCAGTTTCCTCATCTAAAAATGGGTGAGCACCTGTGTGGCTCAGTTGGTTAAGTGTCCCCCTTTGGCTCAGATCTCCCCTGCTTGTGCTTTCTCTCTCTGTCAAATAAACAGATAGATAGATAGATAGATAGATAAAAATGGGCAAAATAATGCTTAATCCATTAGGGTTATGTGGAAACTACTTTGCAAAAGGCTGAGTCCCTTCTTTTCTCCCTCCCTCCCTCCCTCCCCTCCCTTCCTTTTCAGCAAGTGCACTTTTATTTTTAATTTTTTTAAAGATTTATTTTAGAGAGAGAAAACGTGCATAAGAGGAGTGGTGCAGAGGAAGAGGGACAGAGAGAAAAGCTCAAGTATATTCCTCACCAAGAGGGGAGCCTGATGGCAGGGCTCATTCCACAATCCTGAGATCACGACCTGAGCTGAAATCATCAAGAGTCCGATGCTTAATTGACTGAGCCACTGAGGTGCCCCTCAAGTGTACTTTTTAAATTAAACAGTAAACCTAAGTAATATATGTATTTTTTTCTATAGAGAGGGGGGAGGCAAGTAGGGGTAGGGAGAGAGGGAATCTTATGCAGGCTTCAGGCCCAGTGCAGAGCTTGATCTCACGACCCTGAGATCATGACCTAAGCTAAAATCAAGAGTCGGACGCTTAACCGACTGAGCCACTCAGGCGCCCCCCACTAAATATTTAAAAAAAAAAAAAAAAGAGGCTCAGACACACTAAAAACAGAACTCCAAAAATCACAACATGGACAATAACAATCATCCACAATCTCATTAGAGGGAAGGGTATTTTAACAGAAAACACCCCCCTTTTTTTTCTTTTAATCATATTGCAAGTTTGGACCTCTTATTTTTCAAGACTAATATTATTGAAAGATCTTACCAAATGCTAAAGAATTAGAAATATTTTTGTTTTGGTTTACTTGTTGTATTTGAACTTTCCATGGTACTTATGTCTCAGTTTATATAAGTCATACTTAGTTAAGCATAACTATTTTGAGTTATGAAACACAAAAATTTTATCATCACCTCACTGGAAAAAAAAAATAGTATGGAAATTAACATTAACACATGCTCCCAGGCCATGTTACATTAAAAAGAGGAAAAATGGTTGGGCACCTGGGTGGCTCAGTTGGTTAAGCTACTGCCTTCGGCTCAGGTCATGATCCTGGAGTCCCGGGATCGAGTCCCGCATCGGGCTCCCTGCATAGCAGGGAGTCTGCTTCTCCCTTTGACCCTCCCCTATCTCATGCTCTCTCTCTGTCTCTCTCTCAAATAAAATCTTAAAAAAAAAGGAAAATTGAGAAATAGATACATCCCAAAATATTCTTTGTTTTTACCCATTACCAACTTTTGAGAATATTCTATAGCCACTTACTACATAGCAAGTGACACAAAACAGTTGATATAAGGTATTATGAGAACTTGCAAAAGCTTAGTTCTGTAATACTACTAAATATGTGGTGAGGAGATGGCATAGGTAGTTCTTGTGGATTCTCAGTGTACAATCAAATAACGAACTTCCAGATGAGGTTGAGGATTTTTCTGCAGAGCAATTGACAGGGACCAGAGCCTCAAATCAACCTCACCACCACTTACCAAAACTCCTTGGAATCCAATTATGGTTTTATAGTAGGAGGAGAGCTTAGATGTAAAAAGATGCCAAGGCCAGATCCAATGTTCTTTCCATGAACATTCTGGCCGGGTGGAAGCCAAGAACGGAAAATGGGATACAGATCTAGAGTTTACAGAGTGAGGTCATTTTGGGAAGTGAGAACAAAGGGAAGAAACAAAGCCTGGAACTCAAGACTCCAAGATGCTAAAATAAGGTTCTTCTTACTGAATTAGAATTACTCATTTTTTCCCTTTGCTTCAGGCTCTAACATGGCTTGGTTGATCCTGTCTTTATTTAAAAATGTGGTATTTTGTTCATCATGCATTTTTGGGTGTTAATTTTTATTTTTCTCAAAAATGGTATCGAACTATTATCTTGTTTAGTGAGGTTTTGAGCACACCCTTAAATTTGGTGTCCACATATTCTAGTCCTGGCCCTGAGAAAGAGTAAAAATAGTGCAGGAATGGACAAAAGACTGCACTGATTTCAGAGTTTGGAAGGAATTAAGCCAAGAGAGAAGGATCAACACTTAAAACTCTTTCTTGGTCCACCACTCGCCGTCTGCTCCACTTCACTGACTCACCTCATGGCCCCAAATTGGGGTGGCACCATTACTTCTGATCCCCTCAACCATCTTGATTAAACTATGTAAAATCTATTTTCCTTCGTGTTCTGAAAATGTTAGAAATTACAAAGAACTTTTAGTAGAAACTTTTATAGAAAAATAATAACACAAACACCAAGTCATAGGGAAAGTTAAGTTTAAAGTGTTTAAAGTACACATATTTGACACTCCTCTGGTCTCCCCCTCCATATCATCAGTGAATAAATTTGGCTCCATTGTCACGGATTTGTTCTGGTATGCCACTTTCAGTGTACATGTGACTGGTTGTTGAGTTTTTATAGATTTTAAGAGAATCTTTGCCCTTACTCTGAGAATCCTGATTTAAGTAAAAAATCTGCAGTGGCAGGGTATATACAAAGGATGTATAGTCTTAAATGCCTCAATTAAAAGGAACAAAAAATGAAAATAAAGACAAGTATCAGAAGTATTTTTACTATGCTGTGCTCAACACTTTGAACATTTCTTACACAAAATAAGGACAACTAGACACTCGAATGTTTATTGAAAACTTACTGCAGTTGTATAAGTGGAAATCTACAACCATTTAATTACCTTACAATGGTATGGCTGGTTTTTAACTTTGTGAATGTGAGTCTGAAAAAGTGTCGGCTTGTATTCAATGAGATGTATCTGAACTGTATATTGTTTTTCTTTTTTTGGTACAAAATATATAAACAAGTACATGTTTTAATTACAAATCTAACTAATAATAGTTTCTGTTTCTACTGAAATGCACTGGTGTAAAGGAATTATAATTTGTCCAGAAAATTATTTAAATATCCCCAAAGTACCCAATTTAAATGAGGTTACCACATTTCATAAAACATCTTTTGTATTTAAAGTTAATTACAGTGCTTTATAGAAACACTTTCCATCCCAAAAGATACCATTAATAAACTATGAAAGGGAGACAAACTCTGTGATTTCAGAATTTCTACCTCAAATTCTTTGTAGTATACCAATCCCAACCTTTTATTTTATCAAAATAAGGGTTAACGGTTTACGGTTTCTTCCACTCTATAATGTTTACAAAGCAAAATTTCTAATCAAGAAAAGAATTTGTAAATTTCATACCTGGAATTAACCTACGGTAAAATAGTAACTTTATGGCAATGAGCTATCTGTCTTTTAATAAATACAAATTAAGAGTGAACTTAACAACTTGGGAAGACCTAATGTTGGGAAGGAAATAAAACATTGGCTTCCTATAATTACATGATGAGAGATAGATTCAGAAACGAACATCTTAGTATTTCAAACTTTCTTTTATGACTTTATGGATATTTTTCAAAATAAAAAAATATTTTCATACACATTAAAGCCTATAATATAAAATTGGTAGCAATTAATAGCTTCTTTCTTAGTCTCTCCATATAAATAATCAATGAACCAATTAATGTACCCCTATTCTGTAAAGCCAAATGGTCAAAGCATTTGATTAGATTTAGCATTTATGGAAAAAAAAATCACTCAAACATATAAATACTTATTTTAATACTTTTGGAGAATTATAGAACTATGAAAGAAAAATTTTAATTCTTGTACTTTTTATTATTAGAGAGTTCTAACACATTAAAAAGTATTTTTCTTTTTAACTCCTCTAAGAATAGTAATGTGCAGAAAAAGATTAGAGATTTTTGTTATGCAAGCAAATAATTGTGCTTCAGACTGGAATTGCTTTTGAATTTATGTTATTTTTCCCTCTAAAGAGAAACCAGGAAGAAGAGAATCCTGTAAAACTAATAAACCATCCCAGGTGCTTTCAAATGATTCCTTTTCATACAAGAACTTGTAAGCAATCACACTATGGTGTGGGTGGGTATCTTTCCTTCACTTCTCTTCTGGCAGACCAGGTGCAGTTATCTAGAGAAGGTCTACATGGGGAAGGCAAAAGGAGAAAGAAACATAATAAGAAATGCTATCCAGCAGACCAATTTACCCATGCTTAATGTTTTAATAGATAATGAGTTATGAAAATTTACCAAGGTTTTTCAGCACTGAGAGCAATTTTATATTTTCTTACCTTTCAATATAGAAACAGCACCTCTATTTCTTCAAGTCTGAATTTATGTTATTAAAGAGATTTTTTTTCATTTATTTATTTTTCACCTAATAATCTCTGCTCAGTGACCCACATTAGCAGTCTCGGCTATTTTTCTTAATATATTGGATTCTGATTCTTGATATTTATACCAGCTAAGACAATTTATTTGGAGCAGGCCAATAAAAACATATCAGAACTAGTATCTTTTTTCAAGTAGGCTCCATGTCCAACCTGGAGCTTGAACTCACAATCTCAAGATCAAGAGTCATGCTCGGGGTGCCTGGGTGGCTGTCAGTTAAGCATCTGCCTCTGGCTGGGGTCATGATCCCAGGGTCCTGGGATTGAGCCCCACATCAAGCTCCCTGCTCAGTGGAAAGCCGGCTTCTCCCTCTCCCTCTGCCTCTCCCCCTGCTTGTGCTGTCAGTCAAATAAATAAAATCTTAAAAAAAAAAAAAGTCACATGCTCTACTGACTGAACCAACAAGGCACCCCCAGAACCAATATCTTAATTTGGGGTATTTTAACAGATAAAATGGTCCCTAGAAATCTTTTAATGGGGGCACCTAGGTGACTCAGTCGGTTAAGTGTCTGCCTTCTGCTCAGGTCATGATCCCAGGGTCCTGGGATCAAACACCGCATCAGGCTCCCTGCTCAGCAGGAAGCCTGCTTCTCCCTCTCCCCCTCCCCCTGCTTATGTTCCCTCTCTGTGTCTCTCTCTTGTCAAATAAATAAATAAAATCTTTTAAAGAAAAAAAAAATCTTTTAATGCTATAAAACTATTTAATAATTAATACTTAGCAATAGGTTTTAAATATATGGTAGGGCAGGCGCCTGGGTGGCTCAGTTGGTTAAGCAATTGCCTTCGGCTCAGGTCATGAACCTCGAGTTGCGGGATCGAGTCCCACATCAGGCTCCCTGCTCAGCAGGGATCTGCTTCTCCCTCTGACCCTCCCCCCTCTCATGTGCTCTCTCTCTCTCTCTCATATAAATTAATAAAATCTTTAAAAATAAAAAAAACAAATATGTGGTAGGGCAACATATAACTAATTTTTTAAAGAGAAAAATGGATCTTTTATAGGAAGATAATCATTGGTATCAAGGTTTCCCTCGGCAATTTGTTTTGGCCCCCTTCTGAAGACATGAAGGCAGCCTCTCGGTTCATTTTTGGAAGCTTCCATGTCCTTAACATTTCACTTTCCTAACAGTCATGGTGAGGTGTCAACTATAACGAATTTAGCATTAAAAATTGCAGGTATGCCTCTTCTAGAAATCAACTCAGACTGCCTAAATTTAGAACATAAAAATGAGATGAGTTTCTTGCTTATCAGATTAGCAAAGGTTACAAACATTGATAATACCCATGTAGGCAAAAGTGTGTGGAATAAGCATTCTCACAACTTGCTATCGGAAATGTAAGGTGGTGTAGCTTTTCTACAGAGTAATTTACTACTAGGTATGCATGTTTAAAATATGCACAGCCCAGAGGCACCTGGCTGGCTCAGTTGGTAAAGCAAACAACTCGGGATCTCTTGGGGGTCATGAGTTCAAGCCCCACCATGGGCATAGAGCTTACTTAAAAGACAAAAAAATGCATAGCCTAGAGGGTTCTTAAATGATGTTACAAGGAGCTCTGTGACCCTTCCTCCTGATGAAACCACCTTAGCTGGTGAAAAAAATTTTTTTTTTAAAGTTTATTTATTTATTTATTTATTTATAAACTCTACACCCAACATGGGGCTTGAACTCACAACCCCGAGATCAAGAGTCGCATGTTCTTCTGACTGAGCCTGCCAGGTGCCCCTAAAGTTTTAAGAAAGTATTTAAAGGGGTGCCTGGGTGGCTCAGTTGGTTAAGCACTGGACTCTTGATCTCAGCTCAAGTCCTGATCTAGAATTGTGATTTCAAGCCCCACATTGGGTTCCACATTGAGCATGGAGACTACTTAAAAAAAAAAAAGAAAAGTTTTTAAAGTCTCTGGAAATTGTCTGAGGGAATAGAGCAAATGGTGAAACACTAATTCAGGTGTTGTAAATGAAATGTTTGTATGCCCCCAAAATTCATATATTGAAACCTAATTGGCAATGTGATGGTATTTGGAGGTGGGGCCTTTGGAAAGTGAGTAAGCCATGAGGGTAGAGCCTTCATGGCTGTGATGAGTACCCTTATAAAGTAGAATCCAGAGAGCTCCTTATCCCCTTCCACCATGTGAGAAGACAGATATCTGTGAACCAGCCTCCAGAATGTTGTTCATAAGCCACCTAGTCTGTGGTATTTTGTTAAAGTACCCCGAACAGACTAAGACACCAAAAAAATCCACTAATGACAAAAACTGGAAATGGTAAATAAAAAGGCTAATATAAAAACTGTACATATAAACATGTATTTCTTCTCCTTCCTTCTCTCAGCCTTAAAGGACCTAAAATTGTAGAAAGTAATAATTTTAACCAACTTGTATGTGTAACATAGATGTAATGTGTATAACTACAGTGAAATTAAAAAGAGAGAGAGAATACAGCTATATAGGTATTTCTGCATCTCATGGACTTAAAAAAAAGTATAATCTGAAGTAGATTCTGATAAATTCATGTATTGTTTAAGTCCGAGAGCAATCACTAAGAGAGTAAAATAGCAGATACACGGTTGACCCTTGAACAACATGGGTTTGAACTACACAGGTCCACTTATACATGGATTCTTTTTTGATATGATACTATAAATGTATTTTCTCTTCCTTATCATTATTTTTTTAAAGATTTTTATTTATTTATGAGAGAGAGAGAGAGAGACAGACAGAGAGCAGGGTGGGGTGGGGGGAAGAGCAGAGGGAGAGGGATAAGCAGACTCTGCACTGAGTTGTGGATCCCGACATGGGTCTCAATCTCACAACCCATGAGATCATCACCTAAGCCAGATGCTCAACCAACTGAGCCACCCAGGTGCCCCTTATGATTTTCTTAATAACATTTGTTTTTATATAGCTTACTTTATTGTAAGAATACAGTATATAATACATATAACATACAAACTATACGTTAATCAACTGTGTTTATATTATCAGAAAGGTTTCCCATCAACAGTAGGCTATTAAGTTTTGGGGGAGTCAGAAGTTATACATGAATTTTCGACTACACAGGGGGTCAGTGCTACTAACCTCCATGTTGTTCAAGTGTCAACTGTATATCCAACTATATCAATAATAACATTAAATGTGAATTTGGGTAGCCTGGCTGGCTCAGCTGGTAGAGCATGTGATTTTTGATCTCAGGATCATGAGTTCAAGCCCCATGTTGGGTGTGGTGCCTACTTAAAAAAAAAAAAAAAGTGAATCACTGACAATCCATTCAAAAGGCAGATCTTGTCAGACTGAGTAAAACAAAACAAATATGATCCAACTGTATAAAAGACACGCTTATATATTCAAAAGTCAAATAGGTTGAAAGTAAAAGGATAGAAAAAGATATGCAAACAGCAACCATAAGACAGCTGTAGTAGATATACTAATGTCAGATCAAACAAACTCTAAGACAAAAATAGTTGTTAGAGACAGACATTTCATAATGATAAAATGGGTCAACCGAGGAAGATTTAAGAATTATGAAGATATACGCACCTAACCACAGAGCCCCCAAAATACATGGAAGCAAAACTGACAGAATTAAAAGGAGAAACAGATGATTCAACAATAGGATGAAGTTAGAAATCAATAGCAAATAAATTTGAAAAATTCACAAATATGTGGGAATAAACTACACGCTGCTGAACAACCAATGGATCAAAAAAGAAATCACAAAGGAAGTAAGAAAATACTTTGAGATGAATATGAAAACTTATGGGATGTAGCTAAAGTAATGCTTAGAGGGAAATTTATAACTCTAAACAACTGTATTAAAAGAGAAGACAGATCTCAATCAATAAGGTAACATTTCACCTTAACATATTAGAAAAAGAAGAGCAAATGAAACCTAAAGTAAGCAGAAAAAAGTAAGGATTAAAATAGAAATAAATGAAATAGAGAATGGAAAAACTATAAGGAAAAAGAACAAACCCAAAGTTGGTCCCTTGAAGAGATCAACAAAATTGATGAATCTTATCTAGACTGACTAAGAATAAAGAAAAATTCAAATTACTAAACTCAGAAATGAAAGTAAAAACATCATTATTGACCTTAGAGAAACATTTTTAAAAGATTATAAGGAAATAGTCTGAACAACTGTGTACCAAAAAATTAGATAACTTAGATGAAATGAACAAGTTCCTAAAAAGATACAAGCTACCAAAATTGCTCAAGAATTAATTTAAACTTTTTTTTTTTTTTTTAAAGTACACTCTACACCCAGTGCGGGGCTTGAACTCAAGGCCTCCAGATCAAGAGTCACATTTCTACTGACTGAGCCAGCCGGGTGCCCCAGAAATAAAAAATCTGAATAGGCCTATAACAAATAAAAATGATTGCATTAGCAATTTAAAAAACTTCCCACAAAGAAAAGCCCTAGGTATGATTTTACTCTTATGTGGAATTTAAGAAATAAAACAGATGAATATAGGGGAAGGAGAAAAAAAAGACAAAAACAGAGAGGGAAGAAAACCATGAGAGACTCTTAACTATGGGAAACAAACTGAGGGTTGCTGGAGGGGAGGTGGGTGGGAGATGAGGTAATTGGGTGATGGGCATTAAAGAGGGTACTTGCAGTAATGAGCACTGGGTGTTGTATGCAACTGATGAATCACTGGATTCTACCTCTGAAACTAATAATACAGTATATGTTAATTAAACTTAAATAAAAAATTTAAGAAAGATAAAGAAAGGAAAAAAAGAAAAGCCCTAGACCA